ACAGTCAGAGAGTATTGTTGAAGTTAACTTTCGTTGTTATAGCGCGACTGTTGAAATTAAGTGTATCGTAATGTTGTATTCGGAAAGAATAAACCAGTTTTATTAAGTAAAGACTTGTGTCGCTAAAGTTTCGTCGGAACGAATTTACGGAAAATTAAGTAACGACTGGAGGCGTAACAGGTATTTACATTGGTTAACACTATAGTTAACGTGTTATCTTAATTAAGAATATATTAGATTTATGTAGTTAATTAAATGGTGTCTACATATTACATGACTATTTAAAAGTTTAATATTTAAATACCATCTTAATGTAACATACGATGTAATTTTAGACCAAAGTTGTTTTTATCGAACGTTGATAAAGTTATTGCAAAGTAGTATTCATTAGGTTGTATATATTTTGGGAAATTAACCGTAAACTGTTCTACAGTTAAGAGTTTTGAACTTTCTTGTATTTATTTTTGGCATGCGAGTTTAACAACCCATTATTTCTCCCCCAGTTTTCTGTTTTTGAGTTGACGAACACCACTGAATTTCTCATATGATAATGCATATTCCATAGAAGTTAAGATTTTCCTTAGTTGAAAATGTATTTCCGATAGATATGCAAATCCACAACCAACACCAGCCACTCGGGATACCGACATCCGATTGCTGGTAGGAAGCGATGTGTCAACATGGCAGTGTGCTTAAAAGCAAGACCATGGGAGGATGAAGAATCCCTACCAACACATAAATGAGGACTCGTGGTGGTTGGTCCAGCTCTAATCCATAACCACTTTCTGGGATCTAGCCTCCAGATGATGGTAGGATAAGGGATCCCAACCAGACGAGTGAACTACATTGTGGTGGATCTACTCATGATATAGTGTGGGATTCAGATGGAGGATCTATGGTCTACTACCCTAGCAGCTAGGAAAGTTAAGGACTCCCTTTCTCCACTAAAAGGAGGGAATGTGTTGGGGAGTCCAAAGGAATGCCAAAACCAGATACAGTGCAATGGGTGACCACAAAGTCTCTATTTTTAAAAGCAGATGGCCCCCAATTCATTCAATCAAAGGGATGGCCAGCCATCCCCTTCTGCTTTCCTCACGACAGTCAATGAGCCAGTACAGTCCGGAATAGGCATAGTTATGAAGCAAAACACCACCAGGAAAACCTACAAGCAGTCTTGTGGAATACCTAATATCAACAGCATGTGTTATTGGCTATGGGTATACATCGAGATTAGTGGGTACAGCCTCTGCCCAAAGTAACTTCATTGAGATTTCCCAACCCATCCTTGTCATGCTACATTGTGCAACATCATCCACCTTGGAATAGCAGAGTATACCCTGTGCTACATCAATACTGTGCACAAACCCACAGGAGACCCCCATCTAGAAGGCCCCTGATGGTTGACCCACTCCCCCAACCCTGGAGAGAAGCAATGGTTAAAAGATTCAAATCTGGATGAGGAGGAGGAAGAAGTACCCACATTGTTGTGTTGTCTCTGTCCAACCATCAACAGAGATCATCCAGGATGGAGTGTAATGGAGGAGTCCAAGGGATTACAACAACAATTCCACTGGTCATGCAATGTCCACTGAAGAGAATGCATGTGTGCACAACCCAAGGGAATAGGGGCTTCCCTGGAAGCCCAAGTCCCCAAAATATCAACAGCACCTTGCATGCGGAAAGTGAAGGATAGGTAATGGAAAACTGAAAGCTCCATTGAATGTAGATGCCGTGGAGAAGGTTGGAACCAACTGAGGTAGATATTGAAAAACACCCAAAATAGACAAGATATTGAGTAGGTACAAGGAAAGACTTTTCCACCTTGATAATCCAACCCACAATAGCTGCTTCAGTTAAAAGCAGGCGAGTGTGGTTAGTAGCCACTGATTTGGAAGGAACTAACAAAAGCCAGTCATCCATGTAGTGATGGAAACACAGACCCCCTGCCAAAAAACATAAGGAGTTGAGGCAAGCCCAAAGGGTAACGAGCAAAGCTAATAAACAACCCTTTTGTGGACAAACCAAAGACTGTGGGGAGATGGGAATATGATTTTAATGTCTCAAACATCCACAAACCTGAAAAAAAACGCCCATCTAAGAGTGATAAAAAGACTCCATGGTAAAAATCTAAATAAATGAGGAACAACAGATCGATCACAGGATGCCAGTTCCCAGTTTTCTTGGAGATGGCAAGAAACCTGAAATAAAATCACAGAGAAGAAAGACTAACAGGCTCTATAGCATTCTGTGAGGGTAGAGACTGAACTGCCTTCGAAAGTAGTGGGATCCTAAGGAGTTGGGAAGAACATGGGAAGGGGGGAGAGGAACTGGAGATAAAGTTCATCTGGGGGTTCCTGGACCACCCACGGATTGGAAGTGAATTCCAGCCACAGGTGGATAAAACTGGACAAATGAGCCCCCACTGGACCAGTACTCATAGGATAGTCACTGGAACTGTTGGTGGCAATGGGTACAACAGTGAGCAAAACACCTCACTGGAGGACCTCTGGAAGAAAGAACAGGCAAGGGTTGGGAGGGCAAAGGATGAAAAACTGAAATGGAAGTTGGAATATGAGTGGGTTGAGACAAACAAGCAACCAAAAAAGAAAAGGTTGAGTACTGTTTTACAGAATCCACGCGTAACTCCAAAGGTTCGGAGATATCTCTAAAAATAAAAAGGACCATCTGTGGGTTGCATTACTAAGTGAAAAGAAAGTGCACATGAGAAAAGAGGGTGTCTCTACTCAGGAGATCCCAGCAGCAAAGAAGCCATGAGTGAAGGGATAGGGCAGAGGACAATCATGCCAACATAGAGGAAATTAGGGTACAGGTATCCTCCAAAAAACTATCAGGGGAATGGTGGATAGCTGCAGAAAGGAGGTGGGTGGATGAAAAGTACCAAAGGAGAGAAATAAGGGTATGACTAAGGTGGAAAAATTATGCCTGCAATAAACTCATAGAACTCTCAGGGTCAGACCCCCACACAGGCAGAAGAGACTCGAGCTGCTGAGAATCCACAAAAGGAAAATCAGTCTGATGGTAAACCAAGGCATAATTATCTGAAGCCCATGAGGGTCAGGGCATGCTGGACTATGCCCTCAATTGAGAGAGGAAATATCAGCATAGACCCCTGTAATCTGGAGGAGGAGGAAACAGAAGTCATTTGGACAATAGAGCAGTGTGTAAAAGGGAACAGGTACAATCATATGAAACTGGGGATACAGATAAAAGGTTACCTACCCGAGAAATCATATCCAAAATGGCTGATTCCTCAGGAAAGGCATGGGGTTACATGGCAAAGGGGGGGTGGTGGTGGTGAAGGAAACAGGCTGTCAAAATTTTCGTCGTTATGAACAGGTTTTACTGGAAGCAGAAGCCTCTGGGAAGGGTTGGGAGAAGAGGGATGACCCATGTAAATTTTAATCTCTCGACAAGCTACAGCTGAAATCTCCGTAGGTGAAGCCTGTGTCACGACATTCGAAGTAGTAGTTATAGTAGTAGAAATCGTGACACGAAATTCATATTCGATAGTGAAAGAGTCAGGAATCTAAGGAAAAGGTTTGAAAAAAATCATACAAAAAGAGAAAGAAAAAACAAAAATACAAAGTAAGTCACCTTAATAATAAACTACAGTTAACAAAGAACTGTAAAAACTTCGCGGAAAATACAGTATGTATCGCGGAAATTTTCACGAAATTCGAGAACGTCAGAATTCGAGGCAAGGTATCTTTTTGGAAGATTATCTTCAATATAAACACATTAACTATGTCTAAACATTATTTCCAATGACTAATGAACTAGATCAAAAAATTATCTTATACGTGGACATGTTACGGAGTAAGAACTAGAACTAAACCTTAAAAACTACGTATATGTGACATAAAAAATTAACCTTAGATTATGTCTTGACACAGCTGTGACGAGGAAAAGAATGAGGATTTTCGTGCATGAATGTAGAGGAAGGACTTGCACATGGATGGTTTAACTGCATGATATGTCATCATGCAATAGTGCAATTTCATGTGAACTTTAGATGGCAATTTTGCACAAGGCTGGTGGCATGTAAGTTTCTCAGGCAGATAGGTGCTACTTCAAGAAGTAAATAGTTATCTGTGCATGGAAGCGAGTGATCATATCAAAATTTGCAAAAGAGTTGAGGAAATATCAGATATGTACTTCTTGGAGATGGTATATATAGTCTGGTCGGCTCAGAGATTCATTATTAAAAATGTTCATATTAAGTACAACAAATCTGACAATTATGTCTTTTCACTGCTAATGGTGATAATATTTTGCTATAGACAAACAACAGGTTTTGGACTTTAGCCTCACACTTAGCTAATTTGCTCCTCGTTTCTTTTGAATTTTCAAAAGTTAGAAAAACCCCTGAATCCAATATTTTTTTTTACTCCACAGCTATAGATGGTCCCAATGCATACTGATAACAACACCATTCTGTCTATTTTCCATATTCAAAGATCTGTCAGTAACAGCAGAACATTATTTTTGTTGTTCAGAATGTTCCTTCCGATACATTTTTTGTATTTTGTTTTAAAGTTGGATAACTCACCAATTTTGATTTACTTACCTATTACTTACACGTATATCAATTGAACCATCAAAGATCACTAGATAAGCTGAAAGTGTTACTTTTACCACTAATCTTTTCAATTTCAAGTGAAATGATTTTTTAAAATAAGTAACTGCATAAGCTCCAGCTTCATGCGTGACTGTTGCAAGGGTAATTTATATTTTATACTTCCTTTCATCTCCTACCTATTAAATTTAAAAATAATATTTATGTTTGACAGAACATATTTATGGTCAACAGAACCATTCTAAAATGATCATGTTTTATTTTAGTGCAAAATTTAAGTAATATTTTTTTAACTTTGCAATGACAATGTTAGACCCTTGAAAACAGTACACAAGTCATATTTTGGAGATAGATTTGTTTTTCATGGTCAAGAAAAATTAGGTTTCTAAATTAGTAAGACCACCATATCATTGACCTGAAATACTTTTTTATTATATATTGTGCAGACATTGTTATAAATGCATTCATGGTACACACAATTTCTTTTTTGAATAAATGCATGTTGTGTAATATTTATTTTAAGCTTGACAATGACCTCATTTAAAAATCACACATGAACGACACATACAGACAAAGCTATTTACTGCAAAATTTCAAGATTTACACAAGCTCTTCTTATAAATATTACAATTGGTCAAGATGAATTCAACTGCTCTGTCCTGAGAACAGGGTATGTCCATGTAGATAAAAGGTTCACAGCTATTTTAACTCTGTTTCTATCAAGGCTCTAGCAAATGGAAAAACAAAAAAAGTTAGTAGACGAACAGATGCTGTATTTTGACTTTTTTGGTGTGATAAAATGTTGATTTACACGCTGAATAGAAAGATCTGATAACTAAACACTTTGATATCAAGAACCCCCCAGAAAAAAAAAGATCTTGCAATATTATACATTACTAGGCTATCAACAAGTTTATATACTATATTTTTTAAATCAAATGTATTTTCTTATAAATAATGTACAAGAAAAATATATTGTATTAACCAATCAAGCTAAATAAGATATAATTTTTGAATGAGTGTTGTTCCACAAGATGAGAAAAAATACTTGGGTAAATAATAATAAAGAATAAACAAACCCATCTAAATGAAAACTTTTTCTACTTTATCTTGTGTGACATTTCAAGCAGATGCCCTTTGTCAGGCAGTAAAAACCATGTTACAAAAGAATTATGCTCAGAAAAATGCCTACTCAAAACATTGCACAAAATAAACCAGAAAAAGGTTTCATTTAGACATGACAATTTATTCTTTATTATCCCAGCTTTTGAAATGGTTCTTCTCACAAAATAATTATAGTTTTGGTTAATAACAGCCAAGTTCTTCAATGAAGAATTCTGTAGACTACATTTGCTTTAGAAGTTTTGCATGTCATTTTAAGCTGTTGGCACAGATCTTTTGAAGCTTGATTGGCTAATACAAGGACTTTTTCTTGAAATGTTGTCCAAAACTTGTAATACAGATACAATCCACAAAAATCTCCAATTAAGAACAATCTTCTCTGCTTAAACTTTATCTCTTAATGGTATTATAAAAGATGTTTTTGGAAATTTGCAACATTTTATTTGGTTAACAAGAAGAAACATACCGAAGAGGGTGACATCTCAGTCAGGTTACGAAGTAAGCTTTCAATAAAAATCCTCCATCCAGCTAGACCTGATACTTCATGAATAATCAACCACTTACACCATGGTCTGTGCTCCCCTAGCAAGTCAAAATTTTCAGGAAGTTTCTGTTTAAACATACATCCAATTTAAGTGCTAATCATCATTATGCATAAATTGTTGATCTACATGTTAATAGCAGTATATGCATTGATAAAACAAAATAATAATATAAAAAACCATAAAGAATTACTATACCTAAATTTAGGTCATTTAACCCCTTATCCCACTAGATGTGTGACAGCTAGGTTCTGACTTTTAGAAGATTAACTTCTTTAATACTGCAATACATGAAAGAGAGAGAGAAAAACAACAACTAATAATTTAAAATTTCTTGATTTAAAACTCCTAATGATATAAACAGTTATACTTCATAAATACAATTAATAAGAAATTACCAATCTGAAAGGCTTAATTTACCATCAACAGTAAAAAAATTATACTTTCAACTGCTACAGTTAACTTCCTGTAGTTTATTTGAGATAATATTCTTATTGTCCAGCAGTATCACCTAAAACTTAATCACAAGTAACAAATCTACACATTTCTTCTAGCATCGAAATAGACCTACTTTGTGCTGTATTCAGTATAGGGGAAAAAACAACACAATATATCAAGTAAATAAAAGTTGTTGTTTTTTATATGTATATAAATCAGTCAAATTATATTTCATGAAAACAAATATTTGTAACACAGGAACTCAGTGACAAGACTGGTTAGTGCGTAGCCATTTCCTTTATGTGATTTCTCTAGAGCATTTAGCTATACACTTGGTAAGGCTTAGTCTGGAACACTATCTGCAATTTTAGTAGAAATAGGATGTAAACATGTCAACAAAGTGTTTAAACACAAGCTATTCAAGTGATACATCAGAATGTTAAGCTATGAGAAAAGCCTTAAATGACAGACTTTGAATTGTTGAGTTAAGAGGTAAGTTGACTTGGATGTTTACAATTATTATGGGTGTCAATAATCTTCCTGTGTGTGTTTGTGAGAGTAATGGAAATAAAAAGTTGGAAATATCAACGTGATTATTAAGAGTAATGGGTTAATACTTTGAAAACCTAGATGTAGTAGACTTGTTCTTTAACAATACTTATTTTCAATTAAATTTATAAACTTGTGGAATAGTTTGTCTGATGATGTTGTGGGGTGTGTTCTGTTTAGTTCAATGCTTTAAATACATAATGGACGCTGATGGGCAGTATGTTGTTCTTACTAGCGATATTACTAACAACATTACTTTTTTTAGTAAGATCCAAGGTAACGAAACTGTTTTTCAAATTTATTAACATTTTTCTGTAACATCATTAAATTTTCAGTGACAACAGTAAGTTATTCATCACTTGTTATTTTTTAAATTCAGCAATATTATAGCCTACTAATATACTTATAAATACAAAATAACTCATAACAATCAGTGATTAAAACAATAATAGTAATTAATAAACTAATAAAAATAACCATAAATATAATAAATAATATACTTTTTAAATAGCAGCAGAGGAATGAAGTATTGCATATGTACTCCTGTTGAAACATGTTTTATCCTGATGAAGCATGTTTTAGTTTTGTGAATTTGTAGAGTTGTACTGAAGGCCATTACACTAACCAAGGATGCCTTTGGTGTGTATTTTCTGTCAGTTGTCAATAAGCTATCAAAGTAGGAGGTTATGTGTAGCACTATGTCAAACGAAAGTGGCAGCAGTTCAAGTGAAACTCCATGGGATCCGTGGCCGTATCTAAACAAATATTTAAGTTTACTGTAAGAAGTAGTGGAGAATACTTATCATACATGTGCTTGCTTTATTTGCCTTTAAAGAAAACATTTAGTGTGAACAGTAAATCTGCAAACAACTTAAAAAACATGTCCATAAAACATTTCTCCGTTGCTAAGGTATTTGAGTTTTCAGTGAAACAGGGTGCAGCACGAAACAAACAGACAGTGGAAGAAAATGACAACACATCTAAAAAGCTTACAGTTGATCATCAAGAAAAAACAATAGCTTCTAATCGAACTTGTGTATTCGCAAATGTGGCAAAATGCTACAAGTTCTTCAAATGATAGGTTTCTTTTTTGTGAGTGTAAAACACTTCCATACAACAGTTCGATTTTTGATACCTCACTACTATAAAGGCTTGGTTTGGTCTGCTATTTCATTGTTGGTAGTGTCCAGGGTCAGTGATGAGGAGTGGAATTCTCCAAAACTAGTCTGGCTCACAAACACACACTCCCAATGAAAGAATAGACCATTCCAAGCATTTACTTGTTGTTAAACAAATGTTTAAACAACTCTATTTATTCAATAGCTTCTAATGTTCATGCCGCGTTTTAGAGTGTCTAAAAAAAAAAGGTGAATGGGATAATACTTAACTTCGTGGTTTCAGAGTTTTTGTCATTTAGAGTTGTTGAGTCCACTTCCTTTAGAAATTTAATCACATCACATCACTACAGCCAACAAGAACAGTAATTTCTTGAAGAACTTTAATGAAACAAATGAACAATGCCTATGAGGAAATAAATTAGCCATCTCAAGTCCCAACTAGTGACAGTCAAGACAGAAACAGGTAATTAAATAATAAATAATCTCTAATTTTTTAGTTTCTAATATTCTCACATTTTCTAAATTTTACAATGTTTGGTTTTGCACCTGACATAGGAACATTGATATTTAATTCGATTGTCATCATATCTACTATAGTTAATTTTTGAATATTGTAGTTAACCTGTTTTGTTATTAAAAGCATATCTGGAAAATAAGGAATTATTATTTTATTTCAGAGCCTATTTAGGAGTCACTGTGCACTGGATAAACAATGACACACTGGAAAGTAAGCATGCAGTTATTGCCTGCCATTGTATAAAAAAGATGTCATACCTACAATCTAATTGAAAAGGCACTAGAAACAGCACATGTTAAATACTGTATCCAGAACAAAATTGTCAAGACTACAACAGATAATGGCAGCTACTTCTTCAAGGCTTTCAGATTAGTAGCATATTTTAAAGTTACATGAATTTGCCTATATATTTAAATTACCACATATGTACAATTGCAAGCAATATCTCTTAGTTAGATGAACCACAACGATGTTTTACATGGCTGGCCAACTTCCTCTGTAGAATTATTCCCATTTGTCACATCATGCATGCGTTTGTCAATTAGAGAAGCTCTAAAATATCACGATAAGAATATGTAATGAGAGAAAGAGAACAACTTGTATTATGCCAGCATGGATGTGGGAATGAATTAATAAATGAAGGAAGGAATGAAATAATGGGAGGAGAAGACGTATATATATATATATATATAAAAGAGGAAGTTTGTTTATTTGTTTATTTTGTTAGCTATAGGAAACCAAATGGTTGAACTTACAAATTTTAAATTAACTTCATAATAACCAGTTTTTTAGAAGAAATTTAATGGTGCTATTTATTTTGTATTTGGTGTAGTATTTAATGACAAAATTG